TTTTTAATTAAACTTTAAAATGTATTCTGCCCTTATCATATACAATACATTTTCTTAACTTGTCGATAAACGTATAGTTTTTATAGTCAATTTTTTTAATATTTGGAAACTTTTTATCACAAGGTATCTTATTACTAGTTGCTAAATACTCGCTAACGCAATTTTAGGACATGCTTTTTATTATCTGGATTTTATTCTGTTTATCTTATGCTGTAGTTTATTTCATATTAATATTCGTGTTTTAGATCTAAATTTTAATGCTATTCAATTACTTTAACGCGATAAAAAGTTAATATTATTTTTTAGTACCTTTGTGTATAACATTTTTCATATTTATATCTGGCAAAACTATCAATAAATACTATTATTTATGCAAAAACTATATGCAGTACCATATGGCACAATTCAAAATCCCGACTATTGCGGTTACGTCACAAATCGACAGATAAAAAAACTATTTAATCCCTTGGCGGTAAAATCAAAAAGGGAACGAGTATTTTGACAGTTCAAAATTTGCATGGGATTTTCTATGTTTCCCCACCCGGTATAAAAATACTGAATAAAAATAAAACATTAAAGAAGATAACAAATATTTATTCTGATCACTGTGTACACTTCTATAACAATCGTATTGTTGTCAACACTTCCAGCTAACCACATAAATTTATTTCCCATACAACAAATCAAATCCAATGCGCCCCGAGTTGATTACCTCCATAAATAATGGTTATTTATGCCCTATGAAATGTACTCTAAAATTTAAAATGTTGCAACCTGGTAGACAACAAAGAATAGAACCACTTTGCTATCTCCAAGTTGTAAAATTGATTTTTTTCTTTTTAAATTTTATTGATTGTTATAACTTATTGCCCATGGGTAAATATTTCAGGACCGTTATAAATATTAATAAGGGTACTTACTTATTTATTGATTGTTCATAGTGTTTCTTATTTTATACCTTGCTTCCAAGAACAGGCGTTACAAATTTATTACTCCTACTATATAATTAAATAATAGTTTAATAATAATTTGTTACATTAGCTGTTTACTAATAAGATGTTTAAAAGTTCTTTTGTGTTATCTGCGGATAAACACATTATATTATACGTGGGCGCTGTTCTCTGGTGAGTACTGGGTCGTAAAGTCTTCTTCTTGAGGTGCCTCTTCTCAGCGAAGATAACTAGATAACCACTGCGAATTCTTCTCGTCTTTCTGCTGTTCTCACGAGTGCTTGAACATTCATTCCTCGGTCGTAAATTAAGAAAAACAAAAACTACTTATGCTTTTATAACATTTTTGGGCGCCACTCAGTTTTGAAAATATTCTGAGTTGAAAACTGAAATAAAAAAAGATTGGTGTTAATTTTAACAAATAACTACAAAAATAATATGTCCGCTCATTACGTGCGTGTTGAATTGAACTTATCTTCTGTCGAAAGAACCTGTCCAACAGCAGCAATGTAGGCCATTGTCATTCATAGATATGGCAATGCAACCTAACCTAACGATTAGAGTGATAATCATTTACGGAAACAGTACTGGGAGAATTGTCAGTTCTGGAGATTGACACACCCTCAAAAGGGAAATTGTTTCCAGAGAATTGGAAGAGAGAAACATTTGCTCAGCAGTTAACGACACAATAAGGTAGTCTAGTAATGCTTCCAAAAAAAAAAATTAAACGCAAACAACTTTATTGATAAATGTATTGTTTCTACTTTGAAAAATACTAATGGGCCTTAAAATTAAAGAAGTTTTAAAAATTTTCTTGAATTTTTTTTTAGTAAAATGAGAATAATTTATTTGCAGTCGAAAAAATTGTTTCCGCGTGTTTTTTAGGGTCAAAGTTAATGTATTCAAAAAGCAGGAATTGCTATTTTAGGAACGAAACATTTTCTTATTTAACAACATGGCGGCTTTCACTTTGTTGTTTTGGAGATTAAGATGGAGTAGTTCGAGTAGTCGCATACTGGACTAATAAAGTCGCAGTTCGGCCTTAACAGGTAGTATACTAGTCGCAAGATTGCCTAATTTAGTCATCCTAGAGTCTAGCTTGTGCCGCCCTCTATAATCTAAATAAACGAGGGAGTGGATAAACTATCGGTAATATATGCCGATGTATATTTAAATTTAGTTTTATATGTACCTTTCTTATGTCCCATTTTAAATAAGTTTTTTTTATAAAAACAAAAACAGCACTGAACTGTCTGACTGAACAGAACAATGAAGTGAAAATTTAAGATTTAAGGTTATGGTTCAATACAGTTGCAAAAAGGTAGTGCCTCGACGTCCTACCAACGTAAGAATAAGGAAATCTAAACAACGTTGGAATAAGTAAAACAGACGACGTTTGCATAACGTTGGAATAGGTCCTGAAACTGACGTCGGAAAACTCTATATTATCCAACGTTGTAACTACGTTGTCCGAATCACCTAAAGATCACTTAAGCAAAAAAGGTTACAAGACAACGTTTATTCGACGTCGCAGAAGCTTCTACTTTGCTGTAGTACTGGTCCAACGTCGGCACAACGTTATAAAAACGTTTAAATTTATTTTAATACCCAAGGTAGGGAGCTAACTATTTTTTGTAACTAATCCAACGTTGTGTTTAGTAAATGTAGTGTTCAATAGTTTAGAGATTATTATTATATAAAAAATGTACTCTGAATAACTGTAAACAACAATGTTTATCTTTACGTAATGCGGAAAGGCGAGTTGAGTCAATACACGATAGCCAGCAAGCAAACAGTATTTTATTTTAAACCCCAGAGTTTTCGCGTATTCTACAGTGGCGACGAGGACTAAACCAAACAGATATTGTGATTCGGTTAAAATACAATCGAGTAAGTACCTAAAGTTTTAATTGGAAAATTACACCAAATATTTACTATATATTGACCGATTTCGAAAAATAAATTAACACTTTAACTGCCACGTTAAACACTAGTGACTGACATTTCTTTGGTAAGGAATCGGCCGTGTCAAACGTTCTGGGTTTATTTTACATCGTATTGTATATTAGAATCATTTTCCTGGTTCCTTCAAGTATCAGAGTACATTAATAACAAGACAATGAAAATTTTATTTTATAAAGAAATGGAAATAGGCAGCTAAAATGTTAACAAAAAAAAATCTTTTGGTGTTAATTTATAATACTAAGTACATGTGTACATTTAAGCAATTTAATACAAATAAAAGAGACTAAGGTCCAAATTAGAGGGGACGTAGGTCCATATTAGAGGACGTAGGTCCAAATTAGAGGGACGTAGGTCCAAACAGAGGGACGTAGGTCCAAACAGAGGGACATGGAGGTCAAACAGAGGGACGTAGGTCCAAATCAGAGGACGTAGGTCCACATCAGAGGACGTAGGTCCAAACAGAGGGACATAGGTCCATATCAGAGAGGACGTAGGTCCAAATCAGAGGACGTAGGTCCAAGTTAGAGGGACGTAGGTCCAAGTTAGAGGGACGTAAGGTCCAAAACAGAGGACGTAGGTCCAAAAACAGAGGACGTAGGTCCAAATCAGAGAGACGTAGGTCCAAATCAGAGGGATGTAGGTCCAAATTAGAGGGACGTAGGTCAAATCAAGAGGACTTAGGTCCAAATCAGAGGGACGTAGGTCCAAATCAGAGGGACGTAGGTCCAAATTAAAGAGACAGAGGTGCAAATTCGAGTTTCATTTATATGCCATTAAGAGATTAAGTCGAAATTAAATGACAAATATATATATCGATAATAGTTAATATTTGGTGTTAAAATGTAAATTAATTAAATAATATGTATACTGTAAATGTATCATAACTAGGTAACAAAGTTATAACAAAAAAAAAAAAAAAAAAAAAAAGCGAAAATGTCGAACGCACATGCCATTGAAGAAAACTCCGAAGATGAAGGCGACTATGTGTTCCATATCGATCAAGACGACACACTATCATGCAAAATTGGTGGAGTGAACATTGATATGCTCATTGACTCAGGCAGTAAATGTAATTTACTGAGCCTAGATGCCTGGCAATATTTAAAACGTGAGAGAGTTCAAGTCCATAACCAGGTAAAAATCCAGACAAAATATTTTAGCCAATGCCAGTAAGGCACCCTTGACTGTCGTGGGATCTTTTGAAGCATTTATTGATGTTGGAAATCAGCCTATTAAAGCCGTATTTTATGTAATAAAAAATGGAAATAAAAATCTACTTGGTAAAAGAACGGCAATAGAGCTAGGTGTTCTAAAAAATTGGTTTACATAATGTCAATGCCACAACAAGCCCATTTCCGAAATTTAAGGACACAGTTGTAGATATTCCAATTGACGAAACAATACAGCCAGTAAGTCAGCCATATAGACGAGTACCAATTCCACTGGAAGAAAAAATCAACAGGAAACTTAAGGAACTTATTGATTTAGACATCATTGAGGAAGTGGCAGGATCATCTAAATGGGTATCTCCAATCGTTCAGTATTAAGGACAGGGAGGTTAGAATCTGCCTTGACATGCGAAGAGCAAATTCAGCTATTATGCGTGAAAATCATCCACTTCCAACGATGGACCAGTTATTACCAAAATTTAGAGGTGCAAAGATATTTTCAAAATTAGATATAAAAAACGCATTCCATCAAATCGAAATTTCACCAGCCTCCCGTCATATTACTACATTTATTAGCAGCAAAGGATTACTACGATATAAAAGACTGATGTTTGGCATATCTTGCGCTCCAGAAATTTTCAGAAATTATTGGAACGTGTACTTGCCAAATGTGACGGTGTTGTCAATTTCATCGACGATATTTTAATTTTTGGAGCAACTCTAGAAGAACATAATATGAGATTAAATAATGTTTTAACAACTTTAGATCAAAATAACATCCTACTAAATAAAGATAAATGCATGTTTAGATTGAGAAGCGTTGAATTTTTAGGTCATCAGCTCTCAGCAGTAGGTATCAAACCCCTAGAGAGCTACATAGGAGCCATAAACACATTTCGAGCACCCAAAACTATTAATGGAGATACAAAGTTTTTTGGGGTTGGTAAATTACGTGGAAAATGGATCCCCTAATCTAGCAACGCTGACAGACCCGTTAAGGAAGATACTTAGGTTAAAATTAGGAAAAAATTCCAACATAGAGTCCTACTGGAAGGCTGAACAGCAACATTCGTTCAAAAAACTAAAAGAGACCCTATCCAGCATCAAAACATTGGGCTATTATCATCCAGGTGACAGAACCCAAGTCATAGCTGACGCCAGTCCAGTTGGTCTTGGCTGTGTACTTATCCAATTTGACGAATCTGGTCCTCGAATTATATCATTTGGAAATAAAAGCCTGACAGCTTGTGAGAAGAGATATTGTCAGACGGAAAAAGAAGCTCTTGCGCTGGTATGGTCAGTGGAACATTTCCATATGTACCTATATGGAAAAGAAACATTTGAATTGGTTACAGATCACAAACCACTAGAAGCCATATTTAAACCAACAGCCAAACCGTGTGCGCGCATAGAGAGATGGGTCCTTCGACTACAATGTTACAATTATAAAGTAGTATACCGCCCTGGAAAATTTAATATAGCGGATGTTTTATCCAGACTGCCAAGAATAGAAAATATAAATAAATCATTTGATGAAAATTCTATTTGCCAAATACTAAGCTATTCAAGACCTGTTGCTGTTTCATTATCTGATATCAAGAGAGCTTCAGAAAAAGACCAAGAAATCACCAAAGTAAAAGAAGCAATATTTCAAGATGTTTGGGACCAATCAATTAATCAATATAAAATATTTAGTTCAGAACTGTGTTTTCATGAAGGAATTCTATTAAGAGGTGACAAAATAGTTATACCATCACAACTTAGGCCAAAAGTTATGGAAGCAGCTCACGAAGGTCACCCTGGCATCGTAGCTATGAAGAAACGTTTACGAACGAAAGTGTGGTGGCCTAAAATCGACGCCGACGCGGAAAAACTTGTAAAGGCTTGCAAAGGATGTACGTTGGTTTCAGCGCCGAATAGACCAAATCCAATGAAACGACGGGAACTGCCTTCACAGCCATGGGTAGTTGTTGCCATTGATTTCTTAGGCCCACTTCCAAGTAACGAGTTTATATTCGTCATAGTCGATTATTTTAGCCGTTACAAGGAGATTAAAGTATTAAAAGATATTTCAGCACAAAGCACGATTAGTACATTACAAGAAATTTTCTCTAGGCTAGGGTATCCATCTTGCATTAATGCTGATAATGGCAGGCAGTTTACAAGCATTGAATTTAAAAACTATTGTAAAGAAACCGGTATCGAATTATTTCACACTATACCTTATTGGCCTCAACAAAATGGCGAAGTTGAACGACAAAATCGTGACATACTAAAGAGAATTAAAATTAGCTGTGCTTTAAAACAAAACTGGAAAAGGGATCTTCTCGATTACATGATGATGTACAATAGTACACCGCACAGTATTACCGGTAAATCTCCATCCGAATTGTTTTTTCGAAGATTTTTTAGAGACAAGATTCCTAGCATCAGCGATCTAGAAAACAATAATTTAGACAGTGAAGTTAGAGACAGAGACAAAATATTAAAAGAACAAGGAAAAGAATACGGGGACAGAAAACGAAAGGCAGTAGAAACTAATTTGGAGCCAGGTGACAAAGTTTATGTGAAAAATTTAATTAAAGTAATAAAACTTGTCCCAAACTTCAATCCAAGTCCGCATACAGTAATAAATAAAAACGGAGGGGATATTCAAATTAGGAATGATGAAACAGGTCAAGATTATCGAAGAAATATAATACATTTAAAGAAAATTGAAGGAGAATGGAAAGTCACTAATAAACCAGAACAAAATGATAGTAGTCATGAGCATGACTAGGGAACTATTGAATGAAGTTAAATGTATTGTTTGGATAGTGGGTATTTTGTGATTTAACTTAATTTTATTGTTACAAAATAGTGTAGTCCCTAAGAGATTATTATTAGCATTAAGTTATACTAGTTCGTTGTTTATTGTAAATTAGAATTAGTTAAAATTAATATATCTAGGTAATAAGTTATATCGTTTTAGTTATAGGTTGCAGAAGTTATATCTTGTTGCTAATTTTGTTAATGTATTTCAATTTGTTTAAAAGAAGAAGGTGGATGTAGTGTTCAATAGTTTAGAGATTATTATTATATAAAAAATGTACTCTGAATAACTGTAAACAACAATGTTTATCTTTACGTAATGCAGAAAGGCGAGTTGAGTCAATACACGATAGCCAGCAAGCAAACAGTATTTTATTTTAAACCCCAGAGTTTTCGCGTATTCTACAGTAAACATGTGGTCGCAAGTCGTGAAAATGCTACTTGGGATGTTTTACATTGATATGTACTAACACTGGGTTGGAGAACGTTTAGTTTAGGTCGTACCAAAGTTTATGGCACAAATGGTCACCTCGGCGCATCCATTGATAAGGCGTTTTATTTTTTCCCATTTTCCCCACTGAATCTGCACATTTTCTTAGCGTGTTCTGTTCAAGCCTTCTGTCAATCCGAAGATTGTTCTTACTTAAATCAAGGAAAGTCATTGATTTTTCTAGGTCGTAAATTTTGGAATCTTCCAGATTCTTAAGTTCTGCTTTAATTTCGTTTCCACTTAGAAAGCAGAACGGTTCTGGTTCAGTTAATGGAATTTCTTTTTTACTTGATATTCTGCTTATGGTTTGAGTTACCCTAACCTAACCAAAAATACTATTATTCAAACTAAACGAAAATATTCTCTTATCTATACTAATATATAAAATCCGTAAGTGACTGACTCACTCATTAATCACAATTTAGAGGTTCGATAAGAACGGATTTTTCGAAATTCCAGTTCAAAGGATTATTTCTTATTTAAAAACGGCCAAGTTTCCGAAAAACGCTTAAACACGTACATTTTATTTTGTTTTTTAAATATTTTAAGATTTTTAAAAATGTATACAGGGCGTTTCAAAAATCTGGTCATTGATTAATCACGATGCTGCTTAAAGCGCTTGACGTAAAAAGCTGATTTTTGGAAAACGGATTGACTTTAGGGTGTAGAGGTTCGATAAGAAGGGATTTTCGAAACTCAAATTATAAGGGGGTGAAACTATCTCTCAAATATTAAAATATTTTTTATTTAAAAACCGGTCAGTTTTTCGGAAAAACTTTTAAACACGTATATTTTATTTTGTTGTTTTACATATTTTAAGATTTTTTATAAATTTATACAGGGTGTTTTATAAAATATAACCATTGAGTAATCACGATTCTACTTAAACTGCTTGACGTTTAAAGCCGATTTTTGGCAAACGGATTGACTATGGGGTGTATAGGTTCGATAAGCAGGGGTTTCTCGAATCTCAAGTTCCAAAAGGGTGAAGACGCCCCTCAAATATTATAATATTTGTTATTTAAAAAACGGTTAGTCTTTCGGGAAAACGCTTGGACAAGCATAATTTATTTGGTTTTTTTTACATATTTTGAAATTTTTAAAAAAATCATACTGGGTGTTCCAAAAAGTTGGGTAATTTCTTAACCACGATTCTGCTTAAACTGCATGACGTAAAAAGCTTATTTTTGGCAAACGGATTTTTCGAAAGTCAAATTCCAACGAGATGAAACTACCCTCAAATATTACCAAGTTATATAATAAAATCGCCATATTGTTTTTTCTCATGCTGACAAAAATGTGAGAAAATTTTGTCCAGTTTGTATGTTAATGGAAATTCTTGCTTTGCTTTATCATCACCATTACAAATGATTAACTAGTATATTACATAAATATATTCCTCTTCTATAATTAAAAAAAATAAAAATAGTGTATAATTAAAGGACATTAAGGAAGCGTAGAAAAAATGTTCCGTCAGAAATGGCTTTGTGCTTTCAGCTTATAGCACCTCGGTTTTGCAATTACCCCGATTCAGTAAAGCGGCGGAGATTCGTCTACGTCTTGTTTTTTTTCTTGATCTATCTGAAAGAATTCCTTACAAACACCAATAATTCCCAAACAGGCAAATTGATCTTCTTCAGACGTATCACGTCGGACCCATCCTTCCGTATTACAATTGGAAAAACAACCGGTGCCCTTTTCGAGCGCTAGCGCTAAAAACCCACCAGATTTATATCTGTTCGACTCGAATTAGTCCTGATGACTCCCCGTCGAACTGCCATCTTTCGCTTAGGCTTTTTTCCTATTCGGAAAATGTCTTTTTGTCGGTGTTGCGCTGCCGTCCGTCCGCTACATTTTCCTTACACGGCTTTGCGGCGTTTTTCTCCTTTTAGCTACCAGAAGTCGTAAAATTTTTAAAGCGTATGCCACTAACACTGCCCGATCGTTTTTCTTACCATCAGACCGGGTGATTTATGTTTTCTTTATATAGCTAACTAGTTTATTGATTTAAAGGTTGCGCATCGCAAGTGGTCGTTAGAAAAGGTGAATAGTCATGACAAGGTTTGTTTTTAAGCCTGCCATAATGAAGATTAAAATTCAAAACATGTATCAAAAAATCTGTTAAAATCTTTGGTTAAAATATATATTGAATCAGTTGTATTCTAGTTATGGCTATTAGTACAATTTCATAATTATTATAATATACACTCAGATGCAAAAAAAACGTAACGGAGAAATTTTTGGTCAAATTTAAAGTGTCATATTTTTGTTATTTTTAGCCCTGTTTTCATGAATTTTTTAGCAAGCTGGATATAATTATATCACCTTTTATTCATATACTCAGCTTTTTATAAACGTTTAATTGTTTCTTTTTTCTTTAACCATTAGTTTATACCCATATAGTTTTTTTTTCGAGTGATCACTCATTTACAGCGTTTTCAGATAGAGCGGAGCGTCCGCGACTGACCGTCCGCGAGCAAGTACCATAAGTTTATATGAACGATTTCACATGGTTCGCGTATGCTCCGTCCGGACGAGCTACATTGACAAAACACCGCGCGGACGCTCCGCGCGTACGGTCCATCTGAACGGGCCATCTGAAAGCGCTGTTATACAGACTGGTACTGGCAAGACGACTTCAAGTTTTTAGAATAGTGCCTGAAAAAACCCACTATGTTGGAGCGAAATGTCGCATAAAAAAATTTCTATCATTCAATTATAATACCTCATACCAAAGAAAGAAAAAAAACTATATTGACTTTTTACAAACTTTAGTATTTGGCAGATTACTTTGTATTGGCAGGTACTTTAGTTTTGGCAGATTATAAAGGGTTAATCGAGGTGTTGTTTTTTCACCTTAACTTTAAAACACTCTGTGCAATAATTTTGTCTGTAAATTCTCTTAAATTATATTTTACGGTCAGAACCATGACTCCTGAGCTTTTTGTTTATTTATTCATGTGAATAAATGCTTTGGTTAATTTTTAAGGTCGAAATGAACTGATCAATGTACAATTTTTTAAATTATCATTACATTTTGATGTAATTTTTTAACATGACGACATGGTTTTGGTGACTATTGTCGTAACGTCATATTACACTGCATTGGTTACTCTATAATAAATTAGAAAAAAAACCATTAAAGACTAACGATTTTTAACTCTATGCTAACGATACAGTCCGGGTAACGATAACAGACAAGGCAGTTGTCAATCACCAAAGCCGCCTTGTCACATTGAAAAATAAGTTCAGAAAAGAACTGATAATCGAAAAAATTGCAAATTTTTAGTGGTAAGCTCATTTCGCTCTTATAAATTAATCAAGGCGTGTATTGATATGATGAAACACAACATGCTCAGGAGACATGGTTCTGACCGTAAAATCATATTTTAGGAAAATTTACACACGAAATTATTGCACTGGGCAAAAAACAACCCCTTGATTAACCCTGTATAATATGCCAAATACTAAAGTTTATAAAAAACTTAGTTTACGAATAAAACGTGATATCATTTTGGGATTGACTAGCATTGAGCAATAATTGCAAAAAATATTTATTACCCGAAAAAATGATTCCTTCTAAAACAGGGATTGCGCATGTATATAGTAGGATTATTTATTTTACTAGAAATGTTTTCTAATGTTTCAATTAATATTTTCGAACGGCTCTTTCATAGAATATCACAGCACCCATTCGGCCATATTTCCATATGTGGTATCCAAGCAAGCAGAAAGTATGATACATGGTACAAGCAACTAATATAATTAGTAATATGACCAACCACACCTGTTTTTCGAATACCGTGTAACGTAATACGTAGATGTTATGAATATCACTAAATTATAGTGTATGGTTAATCTGGTGATTTATTAAATTTACTGTCATTTATTTATATACTGACTTTTTCTAGAAAGATACTGGCTATACTGGGAAATCTGATTAGTTCATTTTATAGTATTTTAGTTATCATTTCTTTTTTATAACTACTATTAAAAATAATGCCTATACCTCTATGGCGGATCATCATTTCTTCAAAAAAGTCGTATGGGTATTTCGCCACTTGCACTGTAAGAAAATCTACAAAATAAAATAGTTATTCTTTTATCTGGTTATTGCTTCTTTGGTTTAAGTTATTGCTTCTTGTGGTTATTGCTCTTTCGTTTTAGACATAACAAATAAACATAAGTAAACATTAAAAACAAATAAAAAATAATCATATTATACAGGTTTTTTGGTTTTGACTCATTTAGAAATTGTTAATTTTGATAATTATAAAAATAAAATCGTCCTGCGTTTATGTAGACGCATAAAATTTATCATGCCGTAATAATCTGGTTGGCAAAATTATGTATTCGTAAATTTTAAATTAAACGCTTGGCTTTATTTTTGATTGATGCCCTCTAACGGACCAACATAGCACTTTTCTATAGAGTTAAGTTGTGGCCAATTATCTTATTTTGATTCAAAAATTACACAA